CTTGGGAGGCGGAGGCAAGAGAATCACTTAAGCCCAAGAGTTTGAGGTTGCTGTGAGCTGTGACACCATAGCACTTTACCGAGGGTGACATGGTGAGATTCTGTCTCAAAAAAAAGCAAACACTGATTGTAAACCCTATAATATTACAAGTTTCTGCAGCATTGTGCACTTCACCTCCTTGCCACCCACCTTGTCTTTTACCAGATGGATTTTAAGCATATAATATCAAAGCCACTGGTAATTTGCAGTGCCAGTGCCCTACACAGAATCTAGGTGTTACCAATCCTAGGCCTACACAAAGTTTTCTCCATCTTTGCTTTGGAAATTGCTTATCTGTACAGGAAGGAAAAACTAAAATTTTCATTTGGATTCGTAAGGCAGTTATTAGCCCTAATTTTCATTTTTTTTCTAATATCTTTCAGATTTGGAGTCTCTCTACCTTTGGTCTTCTCCATACTTTTATCAATGAACATGCTCGGCAGTCCATTTTTAGGAATATTGGAACTGGAGTGATGCAGATTGAAACAGGGCCAGCAAATCACATTTTCTCTTGTGGAGCTGATGGAACAATGAAAATGAGAATACTGCCAGATCAGTTTAGCCCCTTAAATGAAGTGTTGAAAAATGATGTGAAATTCATGCTATAACATTTTCATGAAGAAGATCATTTATTACCTATATGGAAGTAGCCAACAGGTGAAATGTACAGTGATCACTCTCTATGCCACAAATAAGCTAATGCTTTCTTGTTTTCCTATTTACTTCATAGAGCTTTACCCTTGATGCACTGATGCCTTAAAAATTAATAAGGTCATTCAGAATTAGATTATATTGCCTAAAGTAGAACGTGTAAGTAAGGCTGTTATAATCTGTCTGTACAGTGTGTTATATTTTGTCATAGTGTTAAAGGAGTTTCGTTTTCTTATTGTTGATAAACTCTTCTGCAGATACCTCTGCATGAACTTCTTTTCCAGTAAAAATACCCTTTTTTAAAGGCAGTTGCACATAATTCTCATCACTTAATTCTCCACACTCGTACTTCTCTTATCAGACTTATACCTCTCAAGCTCTTCTCCTCTTAATTAATGATAGATTGACCTTTGGGTAAGAACCCATAAAATAATGAACATCTCCATTAAAGCTGTCCTTGAGACTGAAGTGATAAACGAGCCAAAGGGCTCATGTAGTTTTTACCAGTTTCCCCTGGAGCCCAAGTTGTGTGTATGTGTACTTGTGTGTGTGTGTGTACGTATATATCTTACACATCTTATTTGAACTTAGTTTGTGTACATGTAAGCAAAAACCACAAGTCTTTTAATGTGTTTTTGTGCCATAACAAATACTGCCACCAGAATAACTTTTTTTACAACCTTTTTTCATGTTTTTTAATTTTTGAATTCCCATCCCTAATTGTCAAATAAATTTTAAGACTTCCAAGATTATTATTTTTAAGTTTGTGTTGAGTCAAATAAGTCTTAGTAGGCAATAAAAGATTCTGTGTTGGCATATGTAAGACACTTAAAAGTTTGTGACTTTGTTAAAGGAGTTTTGAGCATCAAACACTTTATTTAAATTTTATTTTCTCTCTCTAATTTTTAGGTGCTTTTATTCTCAAAATTCTGAAAACCTTCTAGCAGTGTTTTTAGAAACAAATGTGAAAAATATCAGATCAACTAGATAGTATTTACAGATGTAAAATACCCCCAGAAGTACCATAAATAGAAAATAAACTAAACCTTATATTTTATTATTTTTGCCAAAATATATTATTTTATTATAAAATATGACCAAAATATTAAGATTGCACAATGCTTTTAACTTAAATGTGCTTAACCCTATTTCTGTCTGTTTTGTGCTGTATCTTTTCCGATTCAGAATTATAGAAAACTTGATAAATACTTGATCTTAACCAATAAGACTGCAGGCAGATGGGACTAAGTGTATATGGGACAATTATTATGTATACTATTTAGCTTGAATATATTTTGTTTAATAGAAAATATAAAATAAGAACATTTTTATGTAATAGAATATGGACAGCTATTATCTTGGAAATTAAAGAGTCAAATAAAGCATAGAAATGAAGGGCTGGTAAACTGAATTTTGTAATGTCCTCAGGATACTTTTATCTTAAAAGTATATTGTTAAAGATTTTGTAAATTGTATTTAAATAATTTTAAATGTGTTGAGCAAGCTGCAGTGAAAACACTGTCAATATGTAGAGAGTTTATACATGCACATAACCTGTACTTACAAATTTGTGCAATAACCATATGTGACTATTTTGCCATGGAGAAATCTATGACAGCATCGCAAACAATATTATTGTTTGATGTAGCTAAGTTATTTTTCAGTAATTTCTTCACAAATCAAGATTCAAAAGACTTTAAACACTTTCAATGAGATAGAAAATTTACTATTATGCTTAGTAGAACAAAAGGCATTGTAGATGAACAATTAAGCATTTTAATTGAGGGTTTATGTGGATAACCATAAATAATGTAAGCTCATATATGTATTTACATCCAGAGTCATAATATTTTAAATAAACAATCATGCAGAGAACTTTTTTTGGCATGCTATTGTTTTAAGTAATATTTTGCCAATTTAGTTGACTTAAAATATATGACATTTTAAAGTGGAGAATTTCTGTATTTGTATTGGGTTAATATAGGGAAGACTGGGTAACTTTCCCAATAATCCTGTTCTTCCTTTCCTGAAGTCTTTTTAACTTAATAGGTAAACATCATTCAAGAAAGGTGAGAATAAAAATAGTTGAAGTGTGTATATAAGTATAAAATGATGTACATAATGTGTAAAATTTCATCATCTGCATCAATGGGAGTGGATCAAAATATATTTTTAAAATTATGCATTTTCTGAGCACGTGGCTTTGTGATATAAAAATTCACAACACAGCAAGTTTCCTTTTCTAATTGTCTTAACTAGAACCATGGGACAGTCGCATCCATCCTTCTTTCTTGCTCTCTTTGTCCTTGCCTTTCCTTTTTTTAATTTTTCCTTTATTTATCTTAATCGAATTAGTGTACAAGTTGAAATTTGGTACCTGTATATATTGTTTGGTGGTGACGTCCAGGCTGTTGTACTTTTCACCCAAATAGTCTGTCATGTAAGGCCCATAGGTAATTTTTCATCCCTCACTCCCTTTTATACTCCCCTCTTTTGAGTCACCAGCGTCCTTTATATCACTCCGTGTGTCCTTCTGTAGTTTAGCTCCCATTTATAAGGAGAACCTACAGCATTTATTTTTCTGTTCCTGAATTAATTCACTTGTATAAAAACCTTTCTTTTAAAGAAAATTGCAGAAATTTCTTGCATTGTCATCAATAATTAAAACACAATATAAGGGTACGCATGTAAAGAAAAGCCTTTTAGGATTAGAATGATTTTTTTTTTTTATTTGAGACAGAGCCTCAAGCTGTCACCCTGGGTAGAGTGCTGTAGTGTCAGAGCTCACAGCAACCTCCAACTCCTGGGCTCAAGCGAGTCTCCTGCCTCAGCCTCCCAAGTAGGTGGGACCACAGGCACCTGCCACAATGCCTGGCTATTTTTTTTTTTGGTTGCAGACGTCATTGTTGTTTGGTAGGCCCAGGCTGAATTTGAACCCGCCACCTTAGGTATATGTGGCTGGCACCTTAGCCACTTGAGCCATAGGCGCCGAGCCAGGGAATGATCTTTTTAACAAAATCTTTTTTTTTTTTTTTTTGGAGAGAGAGAGAGAGAGAGTCTCTCACTCTGTCACCCTGGGTAGAGTGCCATGGTGTCATAGCCCACAGCAACCTCAAACTGTTGGGCTCAAGTGATCCTCTTGCTTCAGCCTCCTGAGTAGCTGAGACTCTAAATGCCTGGCTACTTTTTCCTATTTTTTTTTTAGTAGTGATGGTCATGCTACTCGCTTTTGCTCATGCTGGTCTCGAACTCCTGAGCTCAGGAGATCCACCTGCCTAGGCCTCCCAGAGTGCTAGGATTACTGGTGTGAGCCACCGCTCCTGGCCAGAAATCTAAATGTTAATCAGGTAAATAGTTGAATAAATTACAGTACATTCATATAATAGAATATTCTCTTAACATTAAAAAGAACGTTAAATTTATATCTGTTGACCTTAAAAGAACGTGATGAGAAAAACAAACTACAAAGCAGAAGGTTTAGTGCCCCATGTTGTTTGGAGGTATTTTTAGTACTGTACATATAGATGAACAAAATATATGTGAAAAACACATAAAAATTTAATAGGAGGGAAGGGGAAGAGTGGGTAATATTCTTCCAAATTCCTTTAAACCCCACTCAGTAAAGTAATATTAAAGATAGTTTTGTTGAGTATGTAAAACCTTTATTTTTATACCAAATAAAACTAATGACTGCTATGATGAGTAAAATGGTCTAGTGTCAGGAATTTTTGAATTGTTGAGGGTTTTTTCCTGTAAAGTGTGTACTTTTTTTTTTTTTTAAAGACAGGGTTTTGGTCTGTTACCCATGCTTGAGTGTAGTGGCATGGTCAGAGCTCACTATAACCTTGAACTCCAGGAATCAAGTAGTCCTCCAGGCTCAGCCTCCTGTGCAGCGGGAGGCTCCAGGCACACATCACTATAGCCACCTAATTTCTTAATTTTTTTTTGTAGAGGCAGGGTCTCACAATGTTGCCCAGACTGGTTTGACCCACTTTGCCTCAAGCAATCCTCCCACCTCACCCTCCCAAAGTGCTGGGATTGCAAACATGAGCAACCATGCCGGCCAAAATGTTACTCTTTGGAGTAGGTAGAAAGATGTGGAACACAGATTATTTAAAAATGCTTGTCAGTACTTTATAAATGTCTGTACATTTTAGTACAGTTATTCTTAAAGCTCAAGCTACTTTTGAGCTTTTCAAGACTCTTTTGCACTTACACTTGGCCGTCTCCTGCATGTAGAGGTCTATATAATTTAGGAAGCTTATGCTGAGTTAGGGTTTCACATTGTTTTATGGGCTCTTTGGAAGAAGAACACTTTAAGTTCTCCCAAGGCAAATACAGATGAGAGGTAGAAGCTTTGTGACAACACATTTCTCTCCACAATGGAAAAATGCATTACTCATGGATAGTTGATTGTCTGTTCGATGTATAGATAGGAGCTATGTGACAGAACTCAACCAGTATAGTATATTTTGGCCTTGGACATGTGTTAAGTAAGTTTTATACTTTGGGATCTACTCAGCATTATTTCTGGAATTGCAGCATATTCCCTTTTGAAGCCACACCTTTTTTTTTTTTTGCAGTTTTTGGCTGGGGCTGGGTTAGAACTCACCACTTCTGGTATATGGGGCTGGCGCCCTACTCCTTTGAGCCACAGGTGCCACCCAAAGCCATACCTTTTTTACTTTATTGTCCAGCACATAAGCAAAGGTAATTCTTAAAATAGCATCCAGTTGTGTGTATTGGGGCTTTTTGTTTGGTTCCATATTCCACATAAAATGCTTCAAGTTACTGTGGCCATTCAGACATGTATGTAAAACTAAGCACACTTCAATACTTAAAGTGGATTTTAAGGTCTTACAGGGCCTCTTCTAATGAGAACCTTTATAGGGAAAGAAAAATAACCCATCTTTACTTCTCTACAAAGATCACAGTGCCCCATCTGGAGTACACATTAGAGAGAGCTTCATGCATAGATGGGTGGAACCCCACAAATGAGGGATCTTTTATGAGAATACAGTTCCACAAGAGGACATGCCTAGCAAATGAAGGGAGCCCTAGATTTCGGTCCAATACCCCTTTACTGTATGGTACATAAATTACAGAACCATTCACCATTGCCCTATACCTCATAGAAGTCTAAGATTCTTGTAGAATAATGACAGTCACATAAATGTCAACTATGTCACAAATCCCTTTAAAAGAAAATCAGATCATACCTAAACATATGTTAGATGACAAAGAATGATACATTTTAAATTATATATAAGTTGGGAAATAGACATGTAAAACTCCCATAACCCTACATTAGGGCAGAAAATAACTTGATGAAGGACTCACATAGAAGAGTGCAGAAGGATTCTACTGGCAGTGACAAATAGGAAAATAGGAGTTCAGAAGGAGTGGTCTCATTTGAATGGTGAAATATAAGAAGTTATAACTGGCTACCGAAGAATAGAAAATAAGAACTTGGATATTGTACATCAGTGCTCACAGCCCTACGGGCCCCATGGGCCAGCATGGGAGACCATTTTTCAATGGGTGGGAGTGGGGGAAGAGCTCAGGTGGTGATGCTGGGTGTAAGCACTGGGGAGCGGCTGTAAATACAGATGAAGTGCTTCACTTGCTCACCCTGATTGCTGTTGCTCACCTCCACTGGTTCCTGTTTCATGGAAGACAGTTTTTCCCAGGGGAAGGTGGCCTGGCCCCAAAGAGGCCATGAACTGGTACCCATCTGCAGATGAGGGACTGGGGACCCCAGTTGTACATAATCAAGATGTGAAAACATCAGAGAATTAGTTTGAGGTGGGGGATTTGGGGAGGACTTCATATACTTTTGAGACTTACAGCTGAAGGGCCAAAAGGAAGTATATGAAGGTAGGAGTAGTATTTAATAAGATCAAAGAATCAAAAAAAGACTTCTCCCACTGGCTCAGCGCCTGTGGCTCAAGTGGCTAAGGCACCAGCCACATACATACCTAAGGTAGTGGGTTTGAATCCAGCCCACGCCCACCAAACAATGATGGCTGTAACCAAAAAATAGCCCGGTGTTGTGGCGGGTGGTCCCAGCTATTTGGGAGGCTGAGGCAGGAGACTCGCTCGAGCCCAGGAGTTGAGGTTGCTGGGACCTGTGATGCCACAGCACTCTACCCAGGAGCACAACTTGAGGCTCTGTCTCAAAAAAAAAGAAAAGACTTCTTCCACAAAGGTGCATATTTTTGAAGGAAATTGTTCTTTACAAGTAAAACACTGCTTCTGAACTAAAATAGTAAATCCATATTCTTCCTGCACCATATTTTAATTCATGTGTGGGGTTGACAGTGCACATGAAAAAAATCCTCCATACAATTTTACTATTTAAAAAAAAGTTGTGGTTTTTTTTTTTTTTTCCCGCAGTTTTTGGCCGGGGCTGGGTTTGAACCCGCCACCTCCTGCATATGGGGCCAGCTCCCTACTCCTTTGAGCCACAGGCGCCACCCTAAAAAAAGTTTTTTTGAACACATAGACTCACTTCAAAAACTAATGTCATGCAACAGAGGAAAACAGTAATTCAAAACATTCCAACTTGAGTTAAGTGTTAATTGAAATAGCAAATACATTCATGAAATAACCTAGGAATTGGGAATTCAAAGACTTGAGGAATAGACAGTAGAAAAACATGGGACCGGACCTGCATGAACTCAGGAATGAAATTGATGAGAAAAGCAAAAGTATCTCATAGATCAAGGCTAAATTAGAAAAGGGAGAAGAGGCATAACTGTACATGTTTAACAGGATGATAATTAAAGGAGCCAAAAAAAAAAAGTATTACAATGAATTCTTCCAAAATCCTTTTATGGGGCCAGTATTACCATGATATGAAAACCAGGTAAGGACACA